CTAAACCACAAACTAGTCATAAGCAATGACTTGACATATTGGTTGCATTCTTCTGTGTGCAGAAATTTTGTCAGTATAGAAAAGACCAACTTTGTGAAATTTTGTTGGTAGAGAAGACTAACATACCTCAAAATGCAAGACACAGCCTTTCAATTTTTCATCATATGATGTTTCCCTTGCAAACCCATCAAGTTACAGACACATTCACTTTTGAGATGCTAACATCACTAACAGAAACTGTCCAAGTCTTTTTACAGATGCTATTTAATATTCCAATAATAAGGTGTGCCATCTTTCTTCCTCCCAACTTTTATCTCTCACATGCTGGGCATTTCCAACCTGCTACTGTTTTTACTCCTCATCCTTCCTGCAACTCTTTTAACTAATCCACAGCCATCCTTTCCACCATCAACTTTGACATGCTGTGAAAATCATGTGAGCTGATCAGCACCCTTTCCAGCCATTGCAGAATGAAGGAATCAGCATTTACCTATCAATGTGACCTTAATCCATGGTGTTACTTCATGTGCTGCTCATTTGTTCAGTGATTACTAAGCAACCAAAACAGGTGTTGCAAGGGAGAGTTCTGAGCTAAACCCTATTCAATTTGAAAGACAAATTAAAGGATAGAATGGCCTCTCACTGGTGCTCTCACCAATGGAAATTGCCCATCTTGAAGTTCCAATATCTATTCTACAAACCTATCTTTACAAAAATTCTGTGAGTCAATTGCTTCACCAAAGCTTGTGTGATCACAGGGGTCAGATTTGATCCAGGAACAGCCCAAATGCAATATATGGAGGGTTCTCTGCCTGCAATCTTGAAAGGTCTCCACTGACATCTTTCCAAATATTCATCCAAAAGGTTTCAACACATTTTCCCCTTCTCTCTTCACATACCTCTCTTCTCTTCCACATAGTGTATTTTATCTTGGCTGCATGGAACTGAGATCATGGTTCTTCCTGTTTGGAGGCAACATCTTACCTTTGCTGGAGAGATGCTTCCATGTTACTGTTGGTTCTGGTCTCCCAAAGGCTAAGCACAGGAGAGTGACGCTGCTGCCTTCATTGATGGTGATGTCTGATGATATGTTTATAATCTGGGGAGGAACTGCAATAAAAAACGGGGAAGGATGTCAGCACATTAAACTTTTCTGCTGATGCTACTGATGACAGATTCATTTTTCTCGACCTATTCAATATGAAGAACACATGATTTCTTACCAAAACCAATAATCTGGGTTGTAACATGAACCTGCAGCAGAACAAATCAGTTTAATTACTCAGAAGGTGTTTTATTTCAGAAACAAGCATTATGTTGCTTAGCCATCCACTGAATTTTAGTCTCTGCCACCTATTTTTCCATGAACAATGTATTGGCTCAGCTAGCAGTTCCATATCAGAAGCTCTCTGAGATTTGAAAAAGGTGATTCAAGAAGATATCCCTTAAGGGAATAGGAGCTCATGTTTTTTGTTTTCAGAAGTAATGGGCGACATGCACTTTTTAGGTATCTGTAAACTCTAGATCTTACTCCAGAGAGAAGTCTCCCAGACCAAGGGTTGGGTGGGATGGGGGCAGAGCTGAGACACATTTAACTCAAATAAGCTATTTATGCATTTTGTATTTAGATTTCTAATTGACAAACTCTCTCCCCCCCCCGCCCCACCATCACCTGAGGACCCATGCTAAAAATGAAATCTACTTCTATCCAAGGTGGATATACTCAGTTACAGTGGTGCACTGAACCACTGTACATTGGAACAACTGAAAGACTAGGTTGCAGACAGATCCTCCTGGAGAAAATCCATCTATTTGGTTGCTAAACTTGACACTGACTTGATGGCTCATAATCAGTCTATCTGCATAACTCCACCATTTCAAATAGATTATTTCTCTCTGCATTGTTTATTGGACATTGTAAGAGTATGGTTGAGTAACCTATAGTCACATGATTGTATGAGGCTCCAACCCAGGGTTGTCCTTGAGTTATGGTTAAAAAAAGTCAAGATGATGGCCACAGCAGTGTGATCAGAGGCCTGCCCAGCTTCCGTATGTGTATGTGTGCCTATGTGTCATGTGTGCAATACATATAAAAATCAGGTGGTGCTTCAGTTGAACCAAGACTACATTTTACTGGCAAATTGAAGAAAATCATTAGTAAACTTTCCCATCATTTTCCACTGGAAAACACAATCAAACTTTTGGGTAAGTCTTCAAAAAGATGCAACCTTTTTTAAAAAAACAAAAGAAAACAAAATCTCTGTAAGTGGGAGAAGGGGAGAGAGAGAAAAAAAGGTCCACAAGGGCAAAATTTTTATCCTATCCACATGGAAGCTGGTTCTCCTACCATCCCCTGGCAGGACATTCAGTAATCCAATTCTGGAAAAGAAATACTGTGTATATAACTGTCAGTGAAAGTGTCAAGTACAAGTTGGGTTCTATTTCTTTTCTCTCTGTATTTCTCTTTCTCCAGCTCTCCATTCTAATGATATACCTTGCCTTTCATGGAAAGGAATTCAAAACATTTCAAAATATCTTTAAAAGACTCTTTAGTTTTCAGTATGTTACTCTGCTCCAGGCAATATAACACACCACAGATCTAAAGGATAGCTGACACCTGATGAAAAGTAGAAAAACAATCTATGGGGAGAAATGATTCAGCCTTTTTGAATCTATATTTTCTTTATATCACTATTCACTGTTTATATATATATATATATATATAAAGGACACTGGTCTGAAAACATGTTCTTCAAGAATTCCTCTGTGTCTTTGTTGTTTATTCTTCACCTGAATCATAATCTCGTTTGTGCCTTCACAATTGGTTGCTATGGTAGTTATTATGGCCTTGATATCTCATTTTGTATCACAACAGCCATAAAAAGGAAGACGAAATCTGGTTCAAGGAGAGGATGGGTTCCCTCTGGGCTCAAACTAAGGTCCATTCATGGAGCTGCAACTCTGTACGTGGGTTACAAGAGCAATCATGAAAAATACCACCCACTCACCCCCAACCCTACAGGGAATAAGAAGACCAAACCAGTTCTGAAGTGGTTTATTAACAAAGTAAACTGCTGTTAGAAAGAAACATTATGAAGTATGCAGGAGGCCCTGTTTTTAAGGGACACAACTTATCACAGTCCCAGAGAAAGATGTCCTCTACGTTTCACCCAGCCATCAAAGATACTGCTCATGTTTTGTTTGATTGTCAACTGTGTGCCCTTTTTAGGCTTAGATATTTAAAATCCCTACCGGAAAGGACAGCCCACTGGGACCTGAATTGCAGATTGTCCTATTTCCTCCTGCGCTCTAACATATATATTGTTAGCAGAACTTCTAAGTTCATAGACAAGGCAGTTCATCTAAGAATCCATTATATTGAACAGATCAGGGTACTGTGTAAAGGCGATGTATTTATCTGAACGTTGATTCTTTGTATTTGGCACATAGGGTTTTTTATTGTATTTTCATTTACCTATTTTATCCTGGAAATAGACCTTGTATTTTACCTTTATTTTCTTTGATATGTTCATAAAACTAATCCATCAATTGTCTATCTCTCTGTCTGTCCGTCCAGCCATCCCTCTCTCTCTTCATTTCAGAGAACTGTACCTTTTCATGAACACCTGTATTTAGCCAGTCAAGGAAGGAGGTCATCTGGGGAGAAAATACTATAGACGTGAACACTGCTACAATTAAGAAGCAATTTGGAGGACCTGGGTTTTATACCTCATACACATATTGTGTATTATTTCATGTACTCCCAAACCTGGTAAGCCAGTGTTTGGAGGGACCCTGTTCATTTCAGAGAAGTAGGCACAGCAGGCTTGTTCCTGAAATTTCTGCCCTACTAATACCATTGTTTGTGAAGTTCTCATATGGTTTCTAACTCTTGACAGTTTCCATGGTTAGCAGAGTGATCTTGTGAGCCTACAACGCCAGATAATTGATGCTTAAAGGAAGTGTCTCTTCCAATGTTTCATTTTCCATGAAATTTAAAAGTGAATGTTGGTAGCGAGTGCAGTCCCTTACATTCTACTAAAGGAGCATCCTTCGCTTAGATTTCATCCTATGAAATAGTAAGTGCCCCCAATGCTGCCCTTCTGAAGACAGGCACTGCATGACAAGAAATGCTTCCTGTATTTGCCAGAGGTCTGGCAACAATTCAGCTTTTTCGCTCACATTTGGCGATAACTATACACAGATCACATTGTATTGTTGATTTAGAGAACCCAACGTTGACCACTCTCAAACTCTCTAAGTGGTGGCACTGGTTGGGTCAAATGGTCCTTTTATAACTGGTAAGAATCCATATATGATTCTTTAATATGAGCAAAGCACTCAGAAAACTGCAAAGCTGGCCATGTGTTTGTTGTAGCACACTGAGCTGTACCTGTGTTTTGGGATCCCAGTTCCAGCAGTCTGCTTCCTGAATGCCCCACTTAGTTAACACTTTATATCATGTCAGATCAAATCCCATTCTATTTATGATTGCTTTCCTTCCCTATGCTGTATTTTGTGAAGAGAGATGATAGGGAAGGAGAACAAATTATTATGAATTGCAAGGATATAAATACACACCATGATTCCAGTGACATCACAAACCACTCAAGCTGTGCTCCGGTGGTTTATAATGATTGTTTCCAGAGCATCTCTCAGCATGCGTATTTATAGCCTTTTTCACTGCTTTCCCTAGCCATGAAGTAAAATGATTTTGCTCTGAGGTGCTTATACAATTCTCGATAGAATTTCTTCCTCAGATACTTACATTCCAAATTATAGTATATCATTTGTACTCCATTTCCAATGTATGGACTGTATTAAAACCAATGTGTGCACACAGAGTTTCTTTCTGCCTTTCTTCCTTGTTAGCCATATGCATAAGGGCACATATATATCGACTAAACCTCAATGCTGACAACATAACTTTATCCACATTCCTTTCTGCAAGATGTTTTAATCAATGCTTGTGAATGTTGGTAACTTGCAAGGAGGAATAAGAAACCATAACACAACAAGGGGCAATTGGGATAATCAGTTGAGATATATAACAAGTCAGGAGACAGCCAACTGGTCCTACTAAAATGCCCATTTGGGCAAAACTATTAAGCATCACTCTTTAGTCTGAGGTTGTCCACACCAGGAGAAAGAATAATAGATTTATCATTAGATTCCAGTTGAATGTTCGGGGGGGTGGGGAGAGATGCCTTTCTAATAGTAAGAATAATGGAAGATATTGCAAGGGAGCTGGTGAACTATCCCTTTATGGGTTGTGTTCAAGCAAAAGATGAACAGCCATCTATCTAAGATACCTTGGCTCAGATGTTTGTCCTAAGCCAGGAGCTGCATTTGATGATCTCCTTCCCACTCTGATTCTGCGACTTATTCCTTTTGCCTCTTCCACCCTGGCTGATGAATACCAGCCAGGGTCAGAAGAAGCTGCTTCTTTTAACAGACTTTTACCCATCCTCTCTCAAGATAAGTTTCCATCTTCCATTGGTACCACTTATCCAATTTCTGTACACAGTTCAGATAGATTTAGGATGAAAATATTCATCTCTGCCTCCTTCGTGACATCGCTGTGTCACTGGATATGTCCCTGCAGCCCTGAAAGATTTAATCAAGATAAAATAAAGTGTGGCCTCCAGTCAACAAAATTTGCTGGCACCTTAGGGAGTAAAAGAATCAATGAAAACAGATATGGATAGTTGCTTGGCAACCACTCTGTAGTTCCTCTCTCTTCTCCCCCCCACCACTCCTTCCACCTGCTCCTGCTCTTTCCTAGAATAGGGTTCCTGCTGATCACAAGATATTGGTGGGAGAGGAGGAGGTAGCAAACCACGGAGCATCTCTAAATCAGCTGGCTGCTCAGGAGGAATTTCACTTACTATGCTAGTTGGACTTCATCATTTTTTCCCTGAGCTTTTAGTACCAAATGCATGAATGAAATAATAGAAAGGAAGGGAGGATTTTGCTATGTAGTTGCATCTTTCAAGAGCCAAGTTTTAACTGCAAACTTGCAGGAACAAGCTTTTGCATTGGTTGGTGAGAAAAACAGGTGAATAAACCTCAATAAGGAGGATGTAAAAAACAAAACAAAAAAAACACCA